GCTGAAGGGAAACGCCTGGTCCCGGGGTAACGCGCACCCGGGGGCCGGGGCGCGACCGCGGCCTTCGCTTCCGCTGCGGTTCGACCTGCCGGGAAAGCCACCGCCACGCACCCGGCTTTGGCACAGCCCAAAAGCAACGTGTGCCTGTTTGCCGCTCCGCCGGCCCCCGTACTGCTCAGGGACGTGCCAACACGGGCATTCAATCTGATGGGGGTCTCTTCGGTGCACAGTTATTGCTGGTGTCACCCGTCCGTCAGCTCCTGCACGTATTGCTGTTGTTTCGGAGTCAACAGTCGTGGCGACTGGATCAGTGCCCGGTCGGCAAGAAGCGTGGCTGAGAGGCGAGACGGGCAACGACCAAGTAACGGTAACACGATCATTTTCTCCAGCCATGTGTACAACATAGCTGACCCGCCACTGTATTCACTGCTCATGGCCTTTCCTGCCTGGATGCAACAGAAATAACAAAACAATTCTACTGCTGATCCAACAGCAATTTTTTTGTTTGCTTTAAAGAGCAAATTTCAAATAAATGTTTGAACACATTGTGCACAGTATTGTTTTACAGACGTAATTTTCTCCAAACTTTGCCAGTAAGTGATCTTTGAAAAGTTGCTCTGTCTCCTATCTTGGTTTTCTGTGCCTGTGGATGAAACAGTGAAACCAGAACTAGGCCTAGACCTAGGAGAGCCACAGACTGTAGTTCCTAGACATGCCATTAAACATGACCTGTCTCATTTCTCCCAGCTCAATGACAAATGTGTACAACTGCTACATAGCTAACTTACACCCCTGCCTTATGGGTGCTATTGGTCATCTTGAGTAAATGCGAGGAAACAGTTATTACTGCCTGACCGGATTTAGTCTTAGCTGAATGTCTGAGTAACAACAGAGATCAGATTTCAAACTACTGCTGTTTTTTGCATCTGGGGAATCGGCAATCTCATCTTCTGTTGAGGATTTGCCTGGGCAGGAAGCCATGTTATTACAGCTTCTCTTTAAAAGCCAAACACCTTCTGGTTTGGTTTGAAATCACTCGTACGTGCTTCGGAAGATGCACAGAATTTCTAAGACTTGCGGTGCTCCGTTTGCATTGTGATGCACCATACCAAGAGCAGTCCACCAGATGGTGCGGATGCAATAACAAGACCACCCCCCACTGGCCTACAAAAAAACCAAAATACACTTATAATCACTTCAGAATTCATGTTCTCCGTTTATTGATCATCTAGTTTCAATAAGCATTTTTTAGGCATCACAGCAGGGAAGAACTTTAGCATGACAGCGGAACAGCCCTTCTGATTTTTACAGAGAACTTCTCTGATGCATAAGGGGCAGCATGGAGAAATATAAAAAAGGAATTAGGATGGCCGTACTACTGCGATATTTATTGAAATTCCATGCTTTTTTTTTTTTTTTTCCCCTTTAACCCCAGTGATGCAGTTATCTGCAAAGCAGGCCACCATGGGTTGGGGGAAAAAACAGTCACATGTGGGGCAAGAACAAACAAAAAGCCAACTGTGATCACAGAAAAGTTAAATGTGCCATTTCCAGGCCTCCCAGAAGCTTTCAACGACCTGGACATTTGGCACCAGACCCTCAGCGGCCTCTTTCGTTAAGTCACTGGGCATTAGCCATACCTGCAGCTTGTACATCTTAACAGCATCCCACAGTAACGCTCCTGCTTTTGGAATATCTGGGTCATGTGGAATCACAAACCATCCGGATAAGCCAAAAAGAAGTGTGTTTATATCTGAATAAATTACAAAGAGGGGAACACACACTGCTGTGGAACTAACAGTTCTTCCATAGAACTGATGCAAGACTAACATTTTCCCTTTAAGAACAAGCAAGCAGCTCTTCTGGAGAACAAATGAGAAAAATAAAGCTTCAAGTTATTTTGTCAAGTTTACAGATGAGTCAGTTGTGAACTGTATGTGTTACTTAGGAAGACAAAACAGAGAACATTGTTGAACTTGCTGAAAGCAGCAAGTACCAATTATCTTGAATTGCTGCCAGCTCTTTAGATATACTGTGGAACAGGAAAAGGGCAGCCTGTGGTGGAAGAATGCCACTGCTAGGTTTAGGAAAGAGTAGCTTCTTCCCAGTGTTTTGTTTATGGAAAGAATGGCACCATGCCACCCAGACTCTGCACAGTCCCACTTCTTAGATAAGGGTAGGCAGCTGATGGGCAAGAAACCTCCTCTGAAGCAATTTTAGCCAAGTACTCAAACAGGAACTATAATCAGCTACTGTGTCTGGGCACTAATAGCTCTGAAGTACTGCACACATCTGCCTACCTACATGAGCAGGGTATCCTATTTAACTAACAATTTCTCAAAATAATTAGTTACAAAATATGTGTATGTGGACATTAAACATTTATGGTTATCTAAACAACCTGTAGGAGGAAGTAGTACCTTTGCTTGTAAGTCATCTTAGACTTACTAAATGGCTTTTTTGTCCCATGTGGCTGTCTTGCCACTATTAACTGTCATCTTCCACCCCAGCCCACCCCTCAAGAAACCTGCCGTATATGCCATTTAGTATATGCAACCTGAAATGAAGTCCAGCCCGCTAGCAAACTGGTACTGATGGCTTCTTACAAGATGACTCTTTAACCGTGGAACTCCTGCTTTATTAGTAGGTTACTCTGTGCTGTTCAAAGCTGTGGTAAACCTGCGACAGAGCAGAGAACAGTCAAGTAGTTGCAAGTTCCTCTATAAAGTTTCTTTGGCAGAAAGGTAGTTCAGGCAGGCTTGGAAAAGTCTTGTTACCAGACACTCCAACATTAGTATTAGCTCACTGGTGGGCCAAAGATGGTTACAAGAGGAAGAAATGTGCATGTTTTGTTTGCTTTAATTATTTCAAGATGAAATACAGTATGTCAAATTCAACAAACGTGTCCTGATGTTATGTTGTTGAAGATGTTCAGGTAAGTTGTGCTCCAACTGCAGCTACCCTTCCTATTTAAACACCCAAGACAGCCAGTTTGACACATTATTATTGGAAAAAATTATATTTTGGAAGAACTCACTACAGAAGGTGACAGAATTCCAAAAATCAAATTACATGAAAATATACATCGCAATTTTCTTTGTACATTAGGTAAGGAAAACTCTGAAGTAGAAGGCAAAGAATATGAAGGGCCACAGAAGAGAGAAAAGGGAAAAGGAAGGAAACTATTTCTGATACCAAACCCAGAAGTTAGTCATTTGAAAGCCTACAGATGTGCATGCTTGAATTCAACCTTGAGAAAAAACAAGCCTCCCACACACACACCCCCCACAAACAGGCAATGAAAAAGGCAAAAAAAAAAAAATTCGCCCATAAAAAGCAGCTCATTCCTATCTTGGACTAACTTAGTCAACTGAACTTCCAAATGAAAGCGCTCAAGTGCCTTTGAAGTTAAAAATCCAGCAGGCTGCTCAAGGGTGCTCCATGGCCAGTTTTATTGCTATACCCAATTCAAGAAGTATGTGCAATTGGGTTCAAAAAAAGGGGTGGGAAGAAGCGGGGGGGGGGGCGGGGGGAAGCACCTTTGAGACTACAAAGGTCATCATAAAAGAAGACACAAGTAATTGACAGCAAATCCTTTCAAGATTTAATTAGGAAAATTTTAAATTCTGATGGGGAAATAAAAAGGGAACATTTTTCAAAAAAGAAAAGATATACTAAGCTTTAATAAGCAAGAAATTTGAATTAAGCCTCAGTGGGTCAAAGGAAAATTGAATTGGGGGGGCAAGGGGGAAGCAAAAAACCCCCAAACCTTTATCCTAATTGGTTTTAGTTTGACATGCTTCATAAATTGTTGTGGTTGTTTGGTTTGTTTTTTTTTTTTTAAGTCATAGGAAACAATGAATAGGGAGAGAAAAACCTGCTAAAATCTTTAGAATTTACACGATTCTATTCCTAACTACAGACAGCATTATTTGGTACAATGTGTATTTGTGGATGTACATGAACAGTATATATATTATCCGGATCATGTTGTGCTATGTACACATCTTTACAATTCTTCCTGAAGGTTAAAGCAGTTCATTAGATTTCAAAATGCGTAATCATCTTGTGTTGGCACTTGTTAGGCTCTTGTCAGCATTGATAACTGGCATGTTTTATTGCAGCCCAGTTCCAGCCAGTGTTTGCCAACTTGTAATAACAGAAGTCCAGCAATAGGTGGGTAGAGTGCAGGAAAAAAAACAGTGCCATGTTTCTCAATTGGAGACCTACGAAGAAATCACAGGTATTAAAATAAACTCCTCATCATCCTCAATTATTTTAGACACGTTAAATAGTGTTTCAAGCTCAAGGCAGATAATCATTACTTGTTCAAGAGCTTTACATACCTCTAACCAGAAGATGCATAAATCCAAAATCACCTGAGAAAGACTTGAGTTAGTTCAGAATACTGTGTATCCAAGCTCAACTATCAGACTTTGAGGCTCCTGTTAATCGTGTTGCTTGTCAAGTGCAGAGTGTATAAACATTTGATTATGCACACATAGGGCTACAAACTTTTAGATTTATCACTGAAACTTCCATGTATCACTTAGGTGAACGATGGATGCTGCTTCAATAGCAATGTGCAGTACAAAATAGCATAGTAGTGCTTCATTAAGCCACCAAGTCAGACCGTGCTCGTTTGAAACCAGCTATACAGCCCCTCCTCATCCTATTCATCACCCTTCACTTAGAAGGAGTCACCAGGACTTAGAAAAGCTTTCACCTTCCAAAAAAGCAACTCAGCCAATTACTTAAATGTTTGTCATGAGCATTGTTTCACTATGGCCAAGTTCAACATGGCAACAGAGCTGAGGTTAGTTAAGGGTACTCTGGAGTATTACTCAGTTACTCCCTTTCTCTAAGAGAAAAAAACTGTCAGCTGCATTAACAATTCTCACACTGTAGTTATAAGCAGTTGTACAAGACATTCAGTTCCTTTGCTTAGTCTTTTTATTAATGTTAAGCATTTTTCATGCTTTCTCTATCGAGAAAGTTCTGTTCTATCAAATCATTTCTGCACAAGAGATACTGCAGTACTAGTTTGTCACAGATGGAGCCTTCCTCCGCCCCCGAAATTCATACAAAAGTGTAAGGAGGGGAGTATCTCCTGTATATAACTAGCTGGAGTATTTAGTAAGCTGTTCTAGTTGTTCAGACAGTACAACCCCTTCAAACTACATGCAATGCCGTATTTCTCCCCCCCCAAGTTTTGTATGCTGAAGCTAACTAGTACATACGGTTTTGGGCTTCTCCAGCCAAAGGGGTAAGCGTAGTTTATTTGCCAAACCAACTATTAAGAAAAGGCAGCTTCTACATGAAGCTGTTTTGCTTCAAAAAGCAAGAGTGGGAAATTATTAGCTAGTTGAGGAAGTTTTTCCTTGACATACCAAGATTAAAGAGACCAAAGGCCAGGTATTTAAGGGCCATGTTTTAATACAGAGCTTTCTACAAGAGCTTGTTGTAACAAAAAAAGAAAAAAGGTCCTATTAAAACTAGGATGGGATTGTTCAAATTACAGTATCTTAAGTCAGAAGCTCATTTTTAACAGGCTGGCATAAAATGTAAATACCGTATCAGCTACTCTCAAGTTAAAACTTATCCAGGCTGTCAGATAAGCTACAGTTCAGTTTCTAAGCAGAATGTAGCTGTTGTTCTGAAACTATTCCTAAGCCTTCCCCAGTAAAAAAAGTTTTTTGGGCTGCTGAAGAGAACACTACCTTTCTTGATATTACCAATGGGGAACATCTCAGCTTGATCCTTTCTGATATGCTGGTAGACTTTCTACTAAAATTCCCATAGACACCTGAAGCAATCCTTTCCAAATGGTTCCTAACAACCTCACTGAAAACCTACATGCAGCATGCCACCCACATCTGCAAGATAAACTCCATGTATATACACACACACGTGAAATTGAGATAGCAAGACAGGATGCTTTTAAGATTCAAACAAGTGTTCTTCACAATAATGAACATGAAAGACTGATTACTCCCTCCTATTACAGCTCTAATAACCCTTAAGCACTATTAATAAAGCAAGATGAATACTGATAAAGATAATTTTAACTTCTGAACAGCATAAATGCAAGAGCGCTAGAGAAGTTCCCCAAACTTGGCAGAAGGGGCTGTTACTGCATTTGGAAACTCTTTTAGTCTTCAGTATTGCATACAGCCAAAGAACTCCACTGAGACCATGCAGCTGAGAAGAAGAGTTTGGGGTTTTTGTTTGCTTTTGAGGAAAAAAGAAAAAATTAGTTCAGCAACACTTAAGCAGGAAATCCTCGACTCAGGTAACTGACTTGTCTTTAGAAGGATACTTACCCTGAAAAAAAGTGAAGCTACTAGCTGCTGAATAAGTGTCACTCAAAAGCAGTTTCTTGGCTTTTTCTTACACAGCGGGCAACTTTTCTTTTAAATTCTCCATTTCTGTCTTCTCTCCATTCTTTCTGTAATTGAATAGACAGCTTTCAGATGTCAGTCCTATAACAATGTACAAGTTCTAGGAAGACTCTTGGTGTTTATAGTTTTAGACATTAGCCATCTAGTCAACACCTAAATTTGCTTACAGTCATTAAGCTAGTCACTGAAAACCTCTGCGTTTCTATGCAAGCTGCTCCCAGGACAGTGAGGACGCAGCCTTTCCCCCTTGGATTTTAGGCATTCACCAAGGATGTTGCTACCAGTATTTCACAATGTCTAGGCTGAAATCTATTTACTCCAGCCCACAAAGTAGTAGCAAACTCAAACTGTAGACCGCAAGCTGTTACGGGTTAGAGACAACATCTTTAACTGCAGTGATGAAAAAAGGTACACAGCTGCTATGGAGCCAGTAGTTATTCTGAGACTTTTAGGACAGTTTCAACCCCTGCTCAATCTAGCCAGGACACTTCCAGGATAGAAATACAGAACTCTCAGTATTCAGAAGAGGCGCAGTAGTGTCCTTAGAAAGAAAACACCTCCTAGTTAGATATGGCTGAAAGATACTGGCTCCATGAGAAAGACCTTAACAGAATACTCAGCACACCTATGGGGACGGTCTCTGTGACAGGTATCTGATTTCAGAACTGTATAGATGAAGAACCAAGATAAAGATGAACAGGAAGATAAAAAGAGGTAAGTCTGAACCCAGAGATGTGCACACCATGGTATCACAAAAACCCACAGGAAAAAGTGCAGCTAGTTTGAAGTTTTTTGTGGCAGCCCCATGACGAGCTCAGATGAAAGCACAGAAGCTTGATACTAGTGTTGGGTGCTGCCGTAGGCACAAAGTGCTGAGAAAATATGAAGAACCCCTTATTTCATGCAATAAGCCCTACATTTCTTAGGTTTATGATATAAGCAATATCTTGTTACTGCAGGGGTGAGGACAGGGGTTAAAAAAAAAAACAAACCCACCCAAACCACACTGTTTTACCTGAAGTAACCTAACACAAAACACCTTTTCACCCCCTATTTGGAGTGAAAGTTGTAACTGGCATACCCTAACATTCACCACCTCCAAGCTCACCCAGCCAGTCAGCATGCTGGAAAGCCCAGCATGTGCTTTCACTGGAAAGATAAGACAAATAAGGCTACTAATTAATTTGGTTTTTTTCAGCAATTAATACAGCAAGCATTTGGTTCCTTGGATTGGGACATAGGACAGCTTATACAAGACGGCTCAAGGCCAAGAAAAGCACTGAATTTGTGCTCTCAGCTTCAGACTCTTAAGTTTTTGTTTTTACCTCTTACATTTGTAGTTCTATGAAGCAAGTATTCAGAATTGCATAGCAAGCGAAGTTTCCAATTTGACAGCAATCTCTCCAAAACTCTTATTTTTAGTTCATGAACTGTTCTATCTGCTTCTCGTAACATGTATTCAGGCTCCCATCCCTCATTTTTCTCCCCCACTCCAAGAGACAGTACTCCAACACATAGTTCATTTTTCCAGGAAGCAGGTATATCCCCTGCTCCTATAATGCTGTGACCTGCCTGGTAACACCCCACTCTCTAGACTCACTTAAAACCAGAAATTAATGACAGCAAAGTATCTTTTAGTAACTGCCAAAGATTGTTGCTGCAGTAAACTCATACTTAATAAACCAAATAGAAGACATCTTGACAGCAGCCCAGAATAAAGCACGAGCTGCTGATTCTTCATTACCCTGATGAGCACGTTCTGGTTAGTATGAAGAAGACACAGTCAACAATCCAGCAGGAGATGCTAAGCTGCTCAAGCAGCAGATTAAGTTTAAGAGTTACTTGGAACATCTAATACCTCAATCTGAAAAATAGTTCCTAGCATCCAAAGTGATGCCTCAGTGCTGCCTTCAGTCAGATTTGGATGTAAGTTTTTGTGCTCTCCAGCTGGGCTAGAAAATGCTGTGTTTCCTTAAGATTTTGTCAGCCTTTACCCTAAGGTTTAGGTAAACAAATGTATGGTTTTCTATCTAACATCTCTGAGGCAAAAAAAAGCCCAAACAAACCACTCCTGAAACAGCTGGCAGAAAGTAGAGCACAATACAGAAAGATTAAAAAGTTTGTGATGCTAGGAAGGTGACAGGCATAGCTAAAAGTATAAGCTTTCAAGCTACAGAATTCTAACTGTACTTTTAGCACTTCATTAATAACTTGCTCCTTCCAGTGCTCTCAGGTTGGTTTGCCAGCAGAAGATGTCCATGTGTCCTGAGGATTTGTTTCCACCAGTAGCATGACACTAGAAAGGGAGGTCCAATACTCAAAAGAATGTTAAATGGGGTAATTCTTCACTACAGCTTTTTGAGTTTTTCTTCCCATTAAGTTTGATCCACACAAGACCATTCCCATGATGATTTTTGAGCAGAGCTGAACCACCTTTGGAAACACTAACAGCATTGTAGATCAAAAGCTTCAGGAAACTAAACTCTCACCCCCACTTTGGGAAAGTACAGCTAACTTGACAGAGCAGGTTAACACTCCTCTACAAAACTTTGCACTTTCTGTTTACCATCTCCCTTTTCCTCACTCCCCCAGTTAAAAGACCCAGAAGTTCTCTTTTGTGAGAGAATAGCATTTGTTAGTCACTGCTGAACTGCAATTCAAGAGTAATTACAAGGAAAGTACATTAGTGTATCTCGGATGAATGGGTCCTCAAGTCTGTTCCCCTACTTCCCCCTAGAACTAAGAATTTTTTCCCTCCCCACCACAAATGGTTATTAGTCTAATTGCTATTCTGCGATAAATGCAGCTCTTCTAGAGAGCTGATAGCTGTGTTTATACACCCACACAGAATAGGCCATGCTCCAGAAACACTATGCTGCATGAAACACTTGCGTCTCACTGCTGACAGAATCCTTACTGAAGATTCACCCTGGTCTTCTACCTTAAACCAGGCCATTCTTCCTCACTCCTTCACCAGTCATTCTGGCCCGGGACAACACTTCCTCCAGAGTTGAAGGCCAGATGCCCAGTGAAGCTTTCAAGTACATTCTCAAACCACAGACCTACAGTCAAACCTGCTGCTTTAATCCATGGTCCAGGAAGACTGCTGTAGAGAGGTGAATGTAAAAAGTCACAGTATAATTATACTGAGGGACCTCACCACATTTTCTCGTTCCATTCAAAAATCAATAATCTTAACAGGTTACATAATTACCAAAACAAAAATTTGTGTGTTATACTAATGACACGCTAGGAGCCAAAAAAGGTTCCAGAATACATTAACTTCTGCAGCTAAACTTAATGGCAGTTGTAACTGCTGTATGTATATAACGACACAGGATTTTACAGCCAGCTTCCTTCAATTTTTTTTTTTTAAGACTAAAGGAGCAGAAGTTTATCCATTAAGTATCTCTGTGCAGAAGCCATTTACCATAAATAAATGCATTATTGCATAGGAGAAATTAAACCACTACCTATGATATTTGACAGCATCTTTCCTTTACAATCTGTATGATACTTCCCAGGGCTAACTAGTAATTCTGTTTCACAATATGATGCTTTTCCCAACAAAAAGGTAGCCTTAGCCTGTGATACAACAGGTTCTTCCAAAAGTTACTGTATTGTTTGTCCAACTAGAAAAAATCTTACCGCTGCATCAACATTAGCAGGAGAATCACCATTGGGATCTGCCAGCATAGAAATAACACTAATCATTATAGTTTCCACTGTGTGAATGGGAAGCCAGCGTTCCTCAGGTTTCTCATAGCCATATTTGTCTTCTCCAGGCTCATGAAGTATTGAAATGCAGACATCGCCATTCTTGTCAACTACAAAATAGAACAAGGCATAATTCAGTAATGAACAACATGCTGGCATTTCTTCAGGATAGTTATGGACCTGTTCATCTTCACTCCAGCTAGTCTGAAAACATGTTAGTGAAAACACTTCATAAAAAAAGCAAAGTAATTAACTATTACAGAACTCAATCTGTAATAAATAGGGCTTGGTGGAACTCTGTTACTATGCCTGGATTTCTGGCAGAGAAGGCACGTGAGGAGAAAGAACTCAATTCTAATATCATGCTGCACCTTTCAAGGCTAGATAGGCTCCCACTAAAGCTTTTTCTGTTAAGCTCAGCAAACTAGAGTGACTTTTTTTCTCCCCACAACAGCAGCATCAACTGGATATTACCGCTGGATATATTGGAATACGATTTAAGCTGCTGGAATTAGAAACTGCCTGACAAGTACTCCGGTATTTCCAGAGCTGCAATTGACACAGCAACAAAATATTCCCTCTGTTCCTTATGATGGGAGCACTGTGCTGGTCTCCTCCCAGCTTTCAACATCTACAACTTCAGTAACAACTTTAGAAGCTGAAAAGCATTCCCCCTTCCTATTCCTAAAAACCTCCTTCCATTTTATTTTGCCCTCCCATCTATGTCCAGCAGTCGATAAATAAATGAAACATTAGGAGTCATCGTCTTTGTAGGGACTAAGAGATGCTGTTATTCCTTTCATGCTTCACTGGGGAAGGGCAACCTTGGGCATTCTGTACTGAACTGCCAGGTTAGTAATACTAAGATGAAATATTTGAAGGTACAGTAAAAGGCAGCTATAGAAGTCAAGTTCCTCCTCAGACCAGAATTTCACACTTAGGTGGGGGGAAAAAAATAGCCCTGAACAGTAACCAAGAATTCAGTACCTTCTGAAAATACTTTAGGAGCAGTCTCTCAGAGCAGCACTATTAAAAACTCTGCCATGGTTATTACTTCTTTATGAAGTGAAGATTGTAAAGTAAACGCAGAGTTTCATATTTCTAAATTGAACAGAAATGTATCCATTTGTCTTCACCACATTTTAGTTCTTAATTGCAAAAAGAAATTGGAACTTTAACATTTCTTACCATTTGGATGCCAGATTTCTGTGATGAATTTCATTTTTGGCGGCCTCAGTGGATAGTCTTTCGGAAAAGTAAGATGAGCCTTGAAAACACCACCTTCACTGGGGAATCAAAAATACCTTAGTAGATTTTCTTGTAAGCTTAAGCTGAAGACTGGAACTTACTGATGTATCAAAAGCTCTAAGTTTACCCCTCACACAGCTTAACATCATGTTGGTAATTAACAGCACCAACATTTCCACATGCAGTGAAAAAGTTTCTAGATTGAGAAGATCCTGTCACAAGATACTGCCAGCTCCCCAACACTGTATCTTTTTTAGAATTAGGATGATGTTCCAGAAGAGAAAAAGCACACACACACACACACACACACAAAACTGCCAAGGCATTCACCATCAGGAATTACAACTTACATTTTTCCTCCCAGTACATTTATTAATAGAAAAAAAAACAAATATTACTAATAACTCCCCTTCTCAAGTACAGCCCAGCAGATACCTATTTATTTTCCTCCTTTAGACACCTCAGTCCTAATTTCTTGACATCAGTCTGCAGCAGTGAGCCTCAGTGAAAAGTTACAGAAGACTTTATACTGTGTCTATAGCATTACTTTGTAAAAAGACTTCCTATACTACCTTTGCAACACTAAGCTAAAGGGACTGAGACATGACAGTGAGGTGTTCTGCATTGTAGTTACCCACTGAACTGGAAAACAGTAATAAACAAAAGACATTCAGTTTTCATGCGGCATTACAGGCCCATATTTAACTGAGGTAATGGTTTGTTGTT